CGCCAGCCTGCACGTTCCCGTGTGGGTCGCGGTCCATCAGCAGCTGCGCGCGGAGGAAACCCGGCAGGAAGCGGAACCTCTTCGGAGACCAAACATTCTACACCGCCAGCCCTGGCCAGGTCCGTCCTGGAACCTGGGATGGTGCAGAGCTCAATGGCCCGCTTCTACTCCTACCTATTGGACCGTAGTGTTTCGCCCTGCTTGGGGCGAATATGTCCTACACATGGCAGTTACGACCTGATTTTGACATACCCTGGGTGATTCGTCCATACGTGCGACGTCCCATAACTATGCGATGACAGCGATCGCCAACCCCTGGATTATAAAGTGGTGATCGACACTATGCCAGGGAACACCCCCTGGGTCCTCGCCAATCGAAAAAAAACTCAAGCATCGACAGTCGATCGATCCCAAATTACTCCCAGACAGAGTCGTGGCCCGAACGGAGGAACGGCGACGGGGGGGTGGACGAGACGCGCGGTTGTTAGGACAGCCCAAACAAAGGCGCCACTCTTTGGCGGTGTGAAAATAGCGAGCGAGGAATTCTCAGGCGACGTCGCTGCTCTCAAGCAGCATGGAGATGGATCGGATTTTTTTCTGAGGAAGTCCCACGCGAAATCGCCACTTTCAGATGCCGCGGCACATTCTCAGATCGCTCTGGAAGGCGATCTGATGCTTTTGTTGGCGAAGTCTCAGGCGGAATCGCATTTTCAGACGCTGACCCCATCAGGCGGGATGAGAGATGCATCTGAAATTCCCGAATCGGCCCCGAGTCCAACATTGTCCCGGGGCCCCGTGGCCGAACGGGAGGCCAACCGCGTCTTTCTCGATCCCCACGGTCTCCACACTTCAGTCCAGCGGGTAGGAGCGAGCCTCCAAGGCCCTCCTGGCCTAGGCCAGGAGGGCATCTGCACCAGCTCAGGGTCCAGGATGGGCCTGCCTCAGGGCTGGTGGTGCCACACTGCCCCAGACCTCCGACGTCGCTTTTGTTGTTCTGCACTGTCTGCCCCCCCCCCCCCCCTCCCCCTAGAGCACTCGACCCCGCCTCCCAGAACCAATGCTTCGTCGCGGGTCGTGCCCGAGAAAGGCAGCCCCCGCGCCCCAGAATCGCGAACAACACTCCGTGCGTCGACGCCTGAAGCCTGGGGTTGCCGAGCCCCCACACTTCTCCGAGGTCTCGGGGGAGAGCTTCGCCAAGACGTCCTGGCGCGGCCACGTCGGGGCGCTCGCCAGAACGAGTCGGGCGATCGATCCAATGTTGCGACATCGGTCTGGCATTCCGCCCCTCGGAGTCGAGGGCCGAGGCGTACAGGCGCATGAAGCAAGATCCATCCGTCCCCTTGGGGGGCGCAAGGCTGTGGAAGAGCATGCTGGGCTTCCGTCCCGTTCTCCCTGCTGATCGAATCAGGAACGGAGCCCAACTTTGGCCCCAACAACATCTGCGCGCATGAGAGGGGCTAGAGGAACAACCGCGGCAGGACCAGAGGAACAATGAGCCCCTTTCCGAATCCCGTCCGAAACCAAGCGGCTCCTTTTTTCAACGTGTTGGCTGTATGCTGTTTGTCTCGCGCCCCCTTAAGGATGCACAAAGACACACTTGTACGATGCGTCCTCCTTGGAGGCGTGCGTCCGACCTGAGCATGTCGTACAACCGAATTGTAGCATATCTTCCTTATAGCTGGGGGAGGCAGCTCTGGCGGGGGGAGCGGAAGGCCAGCAAGATAGTACATCAACTGGAAAATCAATTGTATATCGTTCCCCGAGCGGCACGGCCAGAAAACGCCCGCCACGAAACTTCTACTATACGATACTCGGCGCGCGCGTCGCCCTTAGGGGGCGACGCACACAGAGTATTAGCATGATGGAATGACGCCGGTCCTGTCTCTCCAGTCTTCTCCTTCCTGCTGTCCAGGAGGGGAGAGAGAAGACCCATCACTAAAAACGCTACCTGGAGGGGTGTGCTTCGGCTTCCTGGCCGCTCCAGGCTGGTCTAGGACTCCAGCAGGGAAGCCGACAAACAACAGAAGGGGCTCAAGACGGCCCCAGCCTTCCAGGGAACTGTGTAGTCGGCAGACGTGAAAGATCAAAGGTCGGTCAAGCAGCGGCGGGACGCGCCGAAGCGCAGTGAGGCGCTCAGGAGCGCGGGGAGGGAAAGCTAGAGGAAGCAGGAGGGAGGCACACTCAGACCGTGAAAGCCGTCGCGCGCGTGCCGAAGAGCATGGCCGAGCAGTGCGTGGCGAAGTGGGGGGCAGAGCCGCACGAGGTCGTGGGCAAGCCCACTTTCCAGGTAACAGGACAGCCCAACTCGGCCTCCAGGACAGCCCCAGTCGGCCCCGAAGAAGGCCGCGGGAGGCCAAAACGAAAGGTGATGGTCCCAAGGTGCCTCTGGCTTGGCCCAGGAGTAAGGCCCCGAGAAGCCCCCGATATGGGAAAGAGCGTGTTCTACCGCTGCTGGCGGAAAACCGGGGGGGGTCACTACCGGTTCGAACCCCTCTCCCCCTCCCCTCTGGAAAACCGGGGGGGGTCACTACTGGTTCGAACCCCTCCCCCCCCCCAGCTCATCATGAAAAGGGGGGGGGGTCACTACCGGTTCGAACCCCCCCCCCCTCTCGAAAACCGAGGGGTGGTGCGGACAGTGGTGGGGACGGTGGTGGTGGGGACAGTGGTGAGGGGACAACGGGACAGTGGTGGGGACAGTGGGACAGTGGTGGGGACGGTAGTGGTAGGGACAATGGTGAGGACAATGGTGGGAACAGTGGGACAGTGGTGGGGACGGTGGTGGTGGGGACAGTGGTGTGGGGACAGTGGGAGTGTGGTGGAAACAGTGGGACAGTGGAGGGTACAGTGGTGGTGGGGACAGTGGTGAAGGCGGTGGCGAGGACGGCGGTGGGAAAATGGGACAGAGGTACAGTGGGGACAGTGGTGGGGACAGTGGGGACAGTGGTGGGAACAGTGGGACAGCTCAGTGGGACAGCGGAGGAGTCAGTGGGACAGTGGGGACAGTGGGGATAGTCGTGGAGAAAGTTGGGAGTGTGGAGCCGTGGTGGGAACAGTGGTGGGGACAGTGGGGGACAGTGCGACAGTGGTGGTGGCACTGGTGGGGACAGTAGGGGCGGTGGTGGAACCAGTGGGGACAGTGGTGGTGAGGACAGTGGCGCTGGGAACAACAGTGGGGGATGTGGTGAGGACGGTGGTAGGGACCGGGAGTCGTTTGCTGGAGGTGAGAGGGGAGGTGGGGAGGGGTTCGAACCGGTACCCCCCCCCCTCCGGTTTTCGAGGGGGGGGGGGGGTTCGAACCGGTAGTGACCCCCCCCGGTTTTCGAGTTCGAGGGGGGGGGGGGTTAGGGGAGGGGGAGGGTTTTGCCGGGGGACGGGGGGGTGGGGAGGGGTTCCAGCAGGGGGGGGGATTTTCGGAAGGGGGGGGGGGACCCCCGGGTTCCGGAGGAAAAGGGCGGCAATTTTCCACAGTAAAGCGGCGGTGGATCACGCTCTCTCCGATATGGCGACACAGACATTAACAATCACTACGCTTTCACACTTGTGTACGCGTCGCACGTTTGGCTCCGAAGATGTCCCAAAATGGCCTCCACAGACCCTGAGAAAGCCAGAAACGGCACCTATGTGACAAATTATGCGCTTGGCGGCAGAAGACCCTAAACAGCGCTTTCGAATACGACAGGGAGCGCCTAAATATAATATTTCCCCCCAACCAGTGCTTGACTTCTTACTAAGGAACTGAGCGCCAGGAACCCAGGACGCCCTGAGCATAAATCAGTCGCCAGACAACTCTTCGCCCACACGTGCCCCACACTCCTAGGGAGCGGCCGGTGATGTGCCGCATGCGTCCTCGGTCCTGCCGCTCCCGCCTGCAGTGTGGGCCGTGTGAGACCACTCTGTCAAAGTGTTTGGCAAGATTGTCCAGCGCCTGGTCAAAGGCTCCCTGAAGTCCCTCCAATGGGGCCCTACTCTGCCAGCGGCCCCTCGCGGACCCCCCTAGCTAAAGGGGCCAAGAGGGCCTAAGATGGCCTCAGGCCAACCAAAAACAGCCCCAGGACGGTCAAAGAGAGTCCCGACATGGCCCAAGAGCGCTCCAAGACGGCTCACGATGGCCTCGGGATGGCCTAAGAGGCCCCTAGGCGCCCCAAGACGCTCCACGTTAACCCCCGACAGGGCACCAAGAAGCCAGAACCAGAACTCCCCTGCAGTTGTTCAGTGATTCTAGCAGTCTCGCCATGTCAAGCTTCCCACACTCCACGACGGCCCAAGAGGCCTCCAAGAACGCTCGGAGGGGGCCCCAAGACGGCCCACGAGGCCCTCAGGAGGACCCAAGAGACCCCCCAAAGGGGCCAAATCGGTGGAAGACAAAAGGGCCGTCGGAGCCTCTCTCCCCATAGACAGTGCCTACAGGACCCTCGACGTGTCCCCAAGAGGCCCAATGTATGCCTCCAAGAGGGCCCCGAGAGGCTTCCCAGTAGAGACCCCAAGAAACTGCCTCAAGAGGCCTCTTGTCACCGACACGTGCGCGGTGGCGGGGTTGGCCGAAAGCCACTGGATGCTCCGAAGAAGCCCCTCGCAAGGATCGCCAGCAGGCGCGCCACGTCACGCCTCTCGGTGCTGCGCGCCACTCCGCCAGACTCCCAGAGAGCGGGCGGCGATGCGCCGACAGTACCCTCGAGAACTACGGAAACGTCACCCTCTTGTTCCCATCCCCCCCCTGCTCCCCTTGTCTCCATCCTTCGCCTTACACGTCTTCCTCGTGCGGATCGTCCAACACCCGTCCACCTTTGGGACGGGGATGGTCACCAGAACCGGGCGGTAAGGGTGTCCAGTCCGGCCGCTGCAGCGCGCAGCTTTCCTCGACCGCAGGAGGCATATGAGATGGAGGTGGCCATGGGGGGTGTTTAGGGGAAGACGTCGAGGACTGGGGGGGTGAAGGATGGGATGGAAGGGCAACGAGAAGGATGATGAGCGGTGGGCGAGGCGGAAGGAAGGATGGGGACTCAATGGAGTTGGAAACGGAGAAGATATTGAGCGCTCCAGAAAGCGGGGCCACACGAATCCTCCTCTTTCAGCCCGTCGCCGAGCTCATTGATCTCCCCTATCATCTTGTTGAACTCGGGGATGAATTCGATGAGGCCTTCTGGGCTAGCTGCGCACGGAGGTGGGATTCAGGAAGTTAGGTGGGGCAAGTGGGCACGCTCGGCGGCAAGAGCCACGTCGCAGCCGTCTTGCGCCCATCTGCGAGGATGGCGCAATACAGAGCGAACCGTATGGCTGCACGGCGGAATCCTTGCTAGTTAGGGCATCAGCGCGCTGGCCTGGTGCCATCTCTTGGTGCTTCTTTCCCCCTCTTTCCTCACCCTCGTCCTCCGCCCCGTGGAAAACAAACTCGTCACGTCTCGTCATATGGCCTTGAAGATTTGCCCAGAATGGTCTCCGCAATTTCGCCAGATCGCCGGCAACTCGCCCAGTCAGAACTCTTGGCACATTTGCATGCTGCACTTATATATATATATATATATATATATATATATGTATTTGAAACTTTCGAAAGGCAACTGACACCTCTGCGCGGGCTAACGTCAAGAATGTGGGATACTCAGCATGGCAAGCATGGGGATATTGACCAACGCACACCCGTGTCCTCCTTCTCGAATTTGTACGAACATTCTGTCGCAAACTATCGGGGATCGTGAACTCAATTGCCAATGACAAGATGCCGAACCGGCTCCAGTCATCCATGACATCCCAGGTAGGGAGCACTCAAAAGAGAGCATATCCGAACACGAAGGCAGAAACATGCAGCCAACGAGCAGAAATCAACTTTGAATACTGAGCCGGAACATAAGTAAACAAACAGGACGCTACCACAAGCTGTGCGAAACGAGAAATGAGCATAACGCAAGCATACTCACACACACACAAAAACTGGAAATCCAGTGCATCAATGCTATACCCAACATCCACGTATTTGTGTCAGCGCCGACTGCATGGCGGAACTCGCGCCAACGATGATTAGTATGTGTTCAGAATCATGGGAGCTCTGACGTTTCCCAGTGTGCGGCCTTCTGGGAGTAAGGAGACCATTGAAATCGTACCAGCAACCACGTAGCATCATAAATTCCATGTGGCCGCTAGCTTGGCAACATCAGCGCGGGGCGATGACCAACTTGCTCGCGTAGCACCAGGCACCCGCAACTCCGCCAGGGCTTACCGTGGCAAGCTCCCCCGATCACGCGAGGAGGGGGCGCGCCAGGGGACGTGCCCGGCAGACCTGCCAGGAGACGTGCCGGCGGCCCTGTCGGGGGGAACGCGCCGAAGGATGTGTCAGGAGACGCGCCACGAGACGTGCCAGGGGACGTGTCGAAGGGGGCGTGCCGGGAGACGCGCCAGGGGACGACCAGGGGCACGTGCCAGGGAACGGGCAAGGGGGCTTGTCAGGGAACGAGGCAGGGGCCTTGCCAGAGGGCGGGCCAGGAGGCGCGCCAAGGGACGCTCCAGGGGACGCGTCAGGGGACGCGTCAAGGGGCGAGCCAGTGGAAGCGCCCGGTGACGCGCCAGTGGACGTTCCAAGGGGCGCACCAAGGGACGTGCCCGGGGGGGTCTCAGGGGACATGTCTAGATTGAATCTGCATGGGTCTAAGCTAGGCGGAGGGCTCCCGCAAGCGGGATTTCACTCAGCTTTCATGCGGGAGGTCTTTCGCAAGAGTGGATTTCCCCAGGATTTTATACTGGGCAGCCCCCGCAAGCGCGAAGGTACCGAGGATTACCCGTGGGGGACCTCCTGGGCCTTCTCCTTGGGGTGTCCTGGAGCCTCGTGAAGACTCCTAGAGCCTCTGGGGGGTCCTGGGGCGATCTGGTGCTGCCGGAGGCCTCCTAGACCTTCGCACGCCGTTACTTGTCGAAGATTCTGCGCGGGAGGCGCGCCATCCTCGCGCGGGCACGCAAGGGATACACCTGTTTACGGTGCTGAACAGATGACGCCCGCCCAGATCATATTATACTATCTGAGATCTTGTATGGATGATGCAGGGGTTGGTTTCTAAATTTAAACTTCTGTAGAGGATCCAATGGAAAGAGTGCGCCTTCCTTGAGCAGGGACGCATGGGATGTTGGGCGAGTCCTTTTGGACGCTCCTTCTGACATAACCGCTTCGGTTAAGTAGCCTTTAGTGGCCTTCAGCGGCCCCAGTGTATTATTAGCAGCCCTTTGTTGCCTGTAGTAGCCTTCTAGCAACAGTTAGTTTCCTTAGAAGCCGTGAGTGGCCGTGGGCCGTTAGCGGCCTTTAGCGACCTTCGGTAAGTAGCCTGTACAAACATGCAAGAAGGGCATTCTGCGTGTTGAATCAGAACTTCCAGAAATACTCACTTAAGGGATGCGCTTGTTCAGTCCAAATTTGTCCTCGCTTAAGGGGCGCAGTTCCCTTGGCCACCGTCAACCATGGTACCGGGGACAAGGCCACCAACAAAAACGGGACTCTGGGGCGAAGCTACTCCCCGGAAGTAGGCGTCATAACCAGAAACTTCTAGAGGCCCGCGCGGATGTCTTGCGTCGGCGCTGACCCCCTGTTTCCTGGCGCGCGGAGTGCGCCCCAGGCAGTGCTGGAGGCGCCGCCAGAAGGGGTTCAGCGCCAGACACGGGACCTCTGCGCGGATATTTCAGTTTATTATTTTCGATTGACCCTTCGGGATGCAAGGACAAGGGAGGCGGGAGAGGGGGGGGAGAAGGAGAATGAGTGCGTTGCCGGCTGCCCCCCCCCTCCGTTGCTGTCCGCGACGCCCGCCGGCAGCAGAATGAGGAACAACGGGCCGGGCGGCCGGGAAAGGAGATAGAGGGGAAGGGGCCATGGAGGAGGAGGGGGAGGAGGAGGAGGAGAAGGAGGAGGAGGAGGAGGAGGAGGAGGAGGAGGAGGAGGAGGAGGAGGAGGAGGAGGAGGGAGGAGAGGGGAGGAGGAGAGGAGAAGGAGAAGGAGAAAGAGGAGGAGGAGGAGGAGGAGGAGGAGGAGGAGTAGGAGGAGGAGGAGGAGAAGGAGGAGGAGGAGGAGGAAGAGAAGAAGGAGACGGAGGATGATGATGAGGAGGAGGAGCAACGAACACGGAGGATGAGGAGGAGGAGGAGGAGGAGGAGGAGGAGGAGGAACAGTGGAATAAGGGGGAGCGTCACAAAAACACTGTGGGGGAGGTGAAAAATAACCATGTGGGACCGTTCAGACTTCGCCGAAACCCTATCGGAGAACGCACCCATGGAGAAATGGAAACATCCCGCCTACGTCACCGAACCTCGTACACCAGCGGCACCCAGCACGGCTTACTGACACATCTTGTACTGCGACAATCCTCTTTCTCCTCCTCCCTCTCCTCCTCCTCCTCCTCCTCCTCCTCCTCCTCCTCCCTCCTCCTCCTCCTCCTCCTCCTCCTCCTCCTCTCCTCCTCCTCCTCCTCTCCTCCTCCTCCTCCTCCTCCTCCTCCTCCCCCTCCTCCTCCTCCTTTTTCCTTTTTCCTCTTTGTTCTCCTCTGTTTTCTCCTCCTCCTCCTCCTCCTCCTCCTCCTCCTCCTCCTCCTCCTCCTCCTTCTCCTGGAGGACAAGCATGGATCAAGGAAGCGGGTCCTTGAGGCACGGCGGCCCAGGCGCTTTGCGCCGCCCTCAGACCCCCGAAGGGCCCTCCACGGGACTGAGACAACCGACAACACGACTCAAGACGCAGAGGAGGAGGAGGAGGAGGAGGAGGAGGAAGAGGAGGAGGAGGAGGAGGAGAGAGGAGGAGGAGGAGGAGGAGGAGGAGGAGGAGGAGGAGGAGGAGGAGGAGGAGGAGGAAGATCGGACGCCTTCCCGGCAGCGGCAGGGGTCTCGGACGCGCTCCCCTCGGGACCCGCTTCCGTCATGCCAGTGCCCGCTCCCCACGCCTGGAGCCGCAGGAATCGGACGCTGGGCGAGAGTGTCGTGGGAACCTGGGGGATGAAGGGACACCCCGAGTCCAAGGATGCGGACTCGAGTCTCTCACTTTCGCTGCCATCCGCCTGCCTGACCCGCCACCATTGTACTTTCGCCAGCTTCCGCGGGCCCCCGCCGGAAGCAGCATGCGCCGCAGGCGCAGCCGATTCTAGAGCGCCACAGATGTCCGCGGCGAGCCCCCCCTGCTTCGTGGCGAGAGGAGGCCCCGCGTCTGCATCCGACAGTCCGCTGACCGCCGCCGCCCCGCGTCGCCCGCGTGCGGTGCTGCCCCGAGGGCTGCCCCAGTGGCCTTCCGGAAGCACCACGACGCCGTAGTTCTTGCCATCCTGCGGTCGGCATCCGTAGCGCTGCGCGCGCGGGGGCAGCGCAGCCAAACTGGGCCCAGGAGGGGCAAGAGGAAAGCGAGGAGCGGGAGGGGACTGGCCCTGTCCTGACCGACCTCTCCCCGCTTCCCCTGCTTATCCTCCTATCCTCCTCCAAATCCTCCTCCTGATCCTCCACCTCGGCCTCTGCAACAACCTGCTGCGCAAATCTTGCCCTCTCGAGGCTTTGGCGCACGGGCTGATCGCGCGGAACGCGAGTACACACCTGATCCTAGGTCGAAGAACCCTGTCTCAGGAGATCATTCCTGCCCCAACCCGCGGAGGAGGACTAATAGAGTCAGGATTAAGCAGATGAGGAACATCCCTATAAATAACTCATCATCGTCATACCACCAGAGGTGTCGGTAATGTGGGCCAGGCGTTTCGCATGATACTTACCCACTGGTTGCAATCCTGAAGATTCAGATTGTCCAGCAGATGCAAGGGCGGAGGGTGACTCGTGACCGAACGTGGTTCTCGATTCAGCGCTGCCCAACTTCGTCTTACAACTCCCTAAGTTCCCCCCCACCCACCCACCCCAAACAATTGCACGCCCCGGCGATGAACCATGGTGGCACTGAAATGCAGCAAGCAAACCTGGAGTAACGCAACAGCCAAACTGCAACAGGCGAGCCCGTACGCGATAGCTTGGCCTGAAGCTTGTGCAGCAAAACGGAGCGAGACATAAATGAGGACGAGGCCGAGGACGAGGAGGGAGAGGGGGCAGCGTGGCTCCCAAATTCGACAATCGCGCACATCGCACGCCACCTGCCTGAAGGGGCGGTAGTGCGGGCGGTGACTTGGCGCGGGCACGGCCGCACTCGAAGCCCGAAAAGCGACAGTCACGCACATCGCACACCACCTGCTTGGAGGGGCGCGGCAGTGCGGCCCGTCATTCGGCGCGGGTGCGGCGGAAACGAAGTGGGGGAGGAAGGAGTGAGCAAGGGACGGAGAGGCAAGAGACGGGGAGGGGACAGGAGGGGGACCGCGGCAATCCTGGAGGCGCCCCAGACGCGCGGGTGCCCGCAGAACTCCTCTCCAGGGCCCCCCCCGTCGCCCCGCGGGGCCGAGGAATTGATTTCAGTTGGGCGATACTTTGTGGGGGGCGATCGATGGAGGGGGAGAAACGCGCACCCTTCGTGCCCCTTTGTGGGCTCCATGGGGCTCCTTTCGGGCCCAGCACAAAAAGATTCACCGATTCTCGCCCCCAAATTACGGATCGCCCCCACATCACGCAAGGCCCGATTCAAATAACAATCTCCCTCGCCGGGGCCGTCGTGGGGAGCCATGGGGGGCGGCTTGGGCACTCCCGGCGCCCCCCAGCGGCATCGGAGGACCGAGAGGCGTCGCCAGGCAAACTCTCGGGACGCAGTGCGGGCCAGCCTGCAAATAGCGAGCCCGTGAAGCTGGACGCCGCGCCCACGTGGCGGTTTCCAGAAACCCTGAACCCAAAACGGTTGCCATCCCCCGGGGCCGAACAATGTTTAGTTCCGCCGGCTTCCGCCGGCGGAGGCGCCCCGGTTTTACTTCCGCCGCCTTCCGACGGGGAAGAGATGGCAACTCATTCGATCCTCGAAGGCGAGGCCTTCTTGGACCGACTCACAAAACGTCTGGGTCGCAACTCCCCAACAGTAGCAATGATTGACAGCGGGCCGTTTCCAGCGTGTGGATATCGACACAGCGCTGCGCACATGTGTCCAGAAAGTCTGCAACAGCTACAAGGATGGATAGCGGCTCTTAAGTTACATGGATGGAACGAGGCTCCTTTTCAAAATGGGGCTCTCGTGGGAGATTTCTCTGCAACACTTGCACGGATGGAGGACGGCTTCTTTTCAGATCGCTGGACCCCACCGTAAACTTGCTGTTTCTGTCTCTTGGTATTCCTTAGTTGACGCTGGAAAGGCAATTACTTTTCAAAACGGGGATGTCGCCTAAATGGCGTGCAAATGGGTTGCTCATCCATTTTCCCTTTTTCAAGGGGACAACTCCCAGGAATGCTCGTAAGGATGTTGGAGTGGAGAGGACTAAGGACGGAGGGTGCGCTGTGGTATCATTGATGCATCCTGAGTTTACTCTTCTCCTTCTCCTGCGCCTCCTCCACCTCCTCCTCCATTTCCTCCTCCTCCATTTCCTCCTCCTCCATTTCCACCTCCTGAGGCCAGCACTAGAGCCCCGAGAACCTCGTCCGAATACCACGAAGCCGTTCTCATCCTCTGCCATCCTTCCTCATCCTTCCTCCTCCTCCTCCTCCTCCTACTACTCCTCCGTTCCCCCTTCCCTAAATTGAGCGCGCCTCGTGCAGACCCCCTCGTCGCGCACACACGCACACAAACAAACACACACATGCACAAACACACACATACACCACCCACAAATCCTCCTCCTCCTCCTCCTCATCATCATCATCTTCCTTCTTCCTCCTCCTACCTCCGACTCGCCCGTTCTCCGTCCTCCACCGTTCGCTGTCCTCCTCTGTCCTCGCTCTCCTTCTAAGTGGTAGGGAGGAGAGGAAGAACACACTGCAGCCAAGTACAGTATTCTGCTTCGAGTGTTCTCCACCAGGGTTCTGCTGCGATTGGTTTCGAAGTCTGTGCTGTGTGTCCCTTACTCGACAACATCGACGTTCATTGCATTTTACGTGTGTCATATACGTCATGTGGTTGCTTGCCAACTTGTTCAGTGTGTTCTTATGTATGAAAGAGCGCGCTGCGGGAGACACGAAAAACAAAAGGGAAACCTCAGCTTCAAGCTAGCCCCCCCCCTCCTTCCCAAAAGGGTGAGCTTCCGAAGTTACCCCCCACCCACACACCCTCCGTTTGTAAACCTGGGGAATCGGGGGGGACTTCGAAAGCTCTCCCCTCCGATTTCGCCGCGGGGGTAAGCCTGGGCTGCCTTTTGCAAAGGGGGGGGCTTCGGAAGCTACGCCCGCCGCCTCCCTGCTGCACCATGGGGGTGGGAGCTTTGGAAGCTACCCCGCCCCTCGCTTAGGTTTCCAGGGTGACCCTGGGCTTACCTTTCGAACTGGGGGGGCTTCAGAAGCTCCCCGCACCACCCTCCTTTTGCTCAGCGCGAAACTGGGGGTCGCTGGTCGTTGGGAGGGGTCCGAAGCTACCCCCGCCCTCCACTCCTTTTCGGGACTGGGGTTAAGCATGGGCTGATACTTGCGGGGGGGGTCTTCGGAAGCTATCCTCCCCCCTGTGAAGCTAGCCCCCACACTTCCACCCGGTGTGGATCTGCGCGAAGTCTCGTCGTCGTCGTCGTCGTGGGCGGCGGCGGCGTCAGCGTCGGCGTCGGCGTCGGCGTCGGCGTCGACGTCGTAATCGTTATTGCCGTATTCGTCGCAATCGTCATCATCATCGTCGTCATCGCTGTCGTCTCCGTAGTCATGCTTCTCGCCGTCGTCGTCGGCGTCGCCCTTGTCGTCGCCGCTGTCGTCGCCATCGTCGTCGTGTGTTGACTCTATTGCACGGCAGAATAAGACACTCCCTGCGTGTCAGCATCACGAGTAGCGCATACTGGTCTGTTAAGCGCTCCTCCTGTGCTGCCATGTGGTGACTAAAATGTACCATCCACTGTTCGCCCTACAGGGGTTGCTATGTAATGAGCAGAATCGCATCTTATGTGTTTCCGCCCTCAACGATGTCACGCGACGAAGACAGTCGACCATCGAAGACACCTGGAGGAATTCATATTCGACGCACCCCAAAGAATTCAATGGGGCTCGTGCGGATGTGGAGCGCTGGCAACCTGAAAGATGGAAGGGCCGAAGGGGGGGGGCAGGGGGGCGGGCTTCGGGCTGGGGAGGTCCATAGGGAGGGCGGTAGCTCGTCGTCGTCGTCGACGTCGTCGTCGAAGGACGCTAATGTTTTACCCCGAGTACTGACGGGGGGGCGGAGGGGTCGGAACCCCCGCTCCCCCCCCCTGTGTACCAGAGATGCGGGGGATGGGGGGGGGAACCTCCCCTCACCTCGTGGGGACAAGGAGGGGGCGGCAGGGGGGAAGGAGGGGGTGTCCCCCCCCCCCGCTTCCCCCCGTCATTTTGCGCCAGACAGGGGCGCGGTCAGTAAAATGCAAAATGCGCTGTAGGTTGCAAGGGGTTGGACTTCGGATGAAGGCTACGGGATAGGGCTTAGGATTCGGCTAGGAGGTTGAGGTTAGGATTCGGATTTATGTACAGCTATGGTTATGACTAGGGGCTTGATCCAGGGCTTAGGGGTTACGGCTACGCTTCGGTTTTGGGTTCGGGTTAAGATCACCTGGTTATTGCGGGGATCATTCCCCCGTTCAGCAAGCCCTTTCCCGAAGTATCGGCATGACCTCTTATTGCGCCAAGGCAATCCTGCATCATCTGCACTTTCAGATTTAAGAGCACGTCTGGGCCGTCCCAGAGCGATCTTGGAGCGTGCCTGCGTCTTGATTCGACACTTCCCACAAGACCAGCCTCCCCAACAATCGGAACGCACCACCATAGCGATCTGATTCACCTGCTCATTGCATCCTCCTGCGGCGACGAGGACGGTGAAACGGTGAAGATGCGGAGGTGGATGCAGCTGATGTTTGTGGCGACGGAAAGTTTGAAAGCGCTTGGGGGGCGTCTGGGAGCGCTTGGGAACCTCCAGGAGACATGGACGCGCACTGCGAAGATCAGCCAATATCCACCAAATTGAGGGGTGTCAAGATCCGGCGGTGTGCACATACTGACCTGTTGTACAGGGCGAGGGTGTTTGGGTCGGTGTGAAGGTCCGCCGATGTCCACCACAGTGTGTTTGTTGCAAGGGGTCGTGGGTTCGAGGTGGTTGTGAAGATCAGCAGGTGTGCACCGAATGTGATTTGTTGCAAGAGATGGTAGATCTCAGACCACCGTGGAGATCAGCCAATGTCCACCACATTGTTTTTTGTCTGCAAGGGGTCGCATAGGTTGGATCAGCGTGAAGATCAAACAGAATCAGCGCCATTCCGATCAT